CACCGCCTGTCCCCGGCCTCCTTCCTGGCTCCCCTTCCGTCGCAGCTGCCCGTGCACTGCGGCCCGGCCAGGCCCTGCAGACCCCGAGGGTTGGGGGGCGCAGAGGGTCACCCTGGCTCCCCAGTTCCCTCCACCGTGGCCCATCTGATCTGCCCCCTCCCACCCCTGGTTTCCCCATGTTTCAGGCTGCAAAGGAAGACTCTGGGGGACCCTGCTGGGCCCGCGATGGACGGCAGTGTAGAACCACCCAGGCCGAGACCCCAGGAAAGGACGAGGGAGGGGCCGTGCTGCCACCTGGTGGCCACGCGGCAGAAAGCAGGGCACACGGGGCGCGGGGGGGGCGGGCTCCTCCCCCACCTCTGCTGAAGGCACCCAGGTCTCCCCTGGCCTTGGCCGAGCTGCAGTCGCTGAACTGTGAGGCCAGAGACTCAAAGTCCTCCTCTCCTGACTTGATCTTCTGGATGTAGCCTGCAGGAGGGACAGGGCGAGTTAAGGCAGGGTAGGGTGCGCGTACCTGTGACTCCACGGTGACCCCACAGCCACGCCAGTCTCCCGCTGTCCCCTCCCCCCCCCGTCCCCGACGCACACACTCCCAGACACAAGCGCATTTCACAGACCCCAGCCCCACGGGAGAGCGGTGCTGCGGTTTCTCCTCCCCACAACAGGGGAGTGGGGGCAGGGGATGACGGCCCTGCGGGGGGGGGGGCTCGGCCCCTTTGTGGCCCAAACCAGCCCCAGGGCCCAGCACCTGGGTGACTCGGGTTTGGGAGCAGCGTTCGAGAGCGCTGCGTGCGTGAGTGTGAGTAACGGCACAGGTGCATGCGTGGACCGGATGGGAGGAGCTGCCAGTACCTTCTGAGTCCCGGACAGCCCCCGAGGACGGGAGACCTTGCCCCGACCCAGGCCAGCCACCCTGTCCTGCCGCGCACCCCGACAGCGTCCCTGCTGGGCGGCTGACCCCTCCTGGCCCCTCAGCCACTGCCCCCGTGACCCACACGGGGTCTCAACACTCCCGCCGGATGTAGATGTCAGGGACACAGCCAGCGGGCACCTGTGTGAGCCCCGCAGGACACCTCTGAGTGACCTAACCGGTGCTTCCAGTCTGGGCGTGACACTGCACGCCTGTAACCTTAGCGCCTGGGAGGCTGAAGCAGGAGGCTCACCATGAGTTTAAGCACAGCCTGCACTACAAAGGCGTAGGGGTACAGTACCATGTGCTCTCCCGACTCCACACACGCCAGCAGGGCACCCAGGCCAGTGAGCCCTTCCCGGTCCCCGCCCTCCACCTCCCCTGCAGCACCTCCAGTCTTTGCTTTCTGCCCTCAGCCCCGCCTCCCACTTGCCTGTGTCTCCGGTCTCCCCAAAGCCCCCCAGCAGCAGCCAGGTACGACGTCCCCACTGTCCTGCCTGTGCGTGTGTCAGGGACAGGGTCTGGGCGGCCTCTCTCCTCGCCGCCCACCCCACCTCCTGGAGCTGTGCACCCAAAATGAGCTCCCTGGCCATCGGGGATTCCGGAGCAGAGGGGACAGGGATGGGGCGTGGGGGTGTGGCACAGAGACCCTCCGCTGAGCTGCACTGCCCAGCTGCCTTCTTTGCCCGAACCTCGGGTCTCAACAGTGAGGCCAGACTTCTGGGGCCTCCTCCTCTTCCCCTTCAAATCTGGTGCGGGGGCTCTGACTGGCCTGTGAAACGAGGACACAAGTGCTCCCCCCAAGGGAACAAGTGACTTCCGGAGCAGAGGCTGAGTATCTGCCCTCGGAGGTGCAGGGTGAAGCCCCAGACCCCAGCGTGGCCATCCTGGGAGACAGAGCCTCCAACAATTAACTAAGGTTAGAGGTCAGCTGAGTGGGGCCCTGATCTCACAGGATTCAGGCCTGGTTTTTTGTTTTTTGTTTTTTGGTACTGGGGATTAAACCCAGAGCCTTTGTTCTGAGCTACATCCCCACCATCACCCTCCTTTTAAAATTGTGAGACAGGATATTGCTAAGTTGCCCAGGCTGAGCTTGAACTTGAGATGCTCCTGCCTCAGCCTCCCAGAGTGCTGGGATGACAGGCGTGCACCACCACATCCAGCTAGGATCAGTGTCCTAATGAGAAAAGGTGCCACCAGGTGTAGTGGCACATGCTGTGGTCTAGCCGCTCAGGAGGTTGAGCGAAGATGACTTGATCTCATGAGTTCAATGCCAGCCTGGGCTACATAGTGAGACCAACCCAAAAAGAAAGACAAAAACAAAACAAACAAAAAAAAACGAACAAAAGACACCAAAGCTCCTTCCTCCTCTCTCCGCACCAGCGCACATCGCGAGACGGTGGCTATCTTTGAGCAGGAAGAAAGGTCTCCCCGGGAACCTGATCTCGGGCTTTGGCCTCAGAACTCTGTCCAGTGCCCCATCCCTGCTGCTGAGCTCCCAGACCACAACTACTCAGAAGGGGGAGGAAACAGACAGCGTGGGGCCCTGGCCCTGAGAAGGTGAGAGACGAACTCCCTGCCTACCCTAGCAGATGCAGCTCAGGGAAGGGGGTGACAGGACCAGGTCTGCCACCCTGACTGGCACAGGACCCACAGGCGGGCCCAGATACCCTGCCTGAGGCTAGCAGGCCGAGGGCTGCCACTGACTTGGGGTCACCGGTCGGAGGAGCCCACGGGAGTCCCTTGTCATCTGGGCAAGGGACTGTGAGGATGGCAGGTCACACCCTGGGCTGGGCCTGGGTCCAGACACGCGGTGGGGACCTCCAGTGCCTGGCACCAGGCGTGCAGGGCTGCAGCGAGGCCGGTTTTGGCCCGCCCTTCTTCGTCAAGGACACCGGCAAGCCCACAGGGTTCAGGTCCCTGACAGCCGGCCAGCTGCTGCAGAGAAGCCTCAGCAGGAAGTGGGCAGCGCTGGTCCTGCTGGCAGCTGGTCCCCTTGGGGCATGGAGGAGCTCGGGCTTTCCAGGGCACTGGACATGTGCCCCCACGGCCTGCCGGCTGGGCCCACACCACCGGAACCATCACCTCCTGATCATCTAGACTGAGGCCAGGAAGGAGAGAAAACGAGCCTGGTATTCAGCACGCTGACCTGGCAGGGATGGCCTGGCTCCTGAGTGCCCCAGCCGGGCCACCTTGCTGTCCTCCTGATGGCCCTTGGCACTCGGACAGGGAGCTCTGACTCAAGGTCACAGGCGCTCTGCGGCTGGGCCTCCCATGTCCCTGCCTAGGAGGGGCTTCAGGTAGCAGCAGGGCTGCCTGTCAACAGGGGCCTTGCCCTCACCTCAACGTCCCTGCCACCCACAGCTGAAGGACCAAGTCAAAGCACTGCCATGTGGACAGCGAGCGCCAGCCACGGTGCCCACTCTCCTGGATCATCACAGGCTCCCTGGGCCTGCTCTACAGACGCGGTAACCGCAACACGGCCTTGTGCCACCCCAGGGGGAGCCCTGCCACCTCACCTTATGTCACCTCCCCAACACCCAGTCCTACCCGCCTCCCCCATCCCCAAGTCCTTTGATTCAGCCTCTTCCATCTCTCTAGAACCTGCTCCCCACTTCTACCGCACGCCACCCCCAAGTTCAAGTCACAGCAGCTCAGGCTGCAATTACTCCCAAGGCTTCTGTGTGCCCAGAGCAGGCAGGGGACCCCACTGACGTTCCCAGTCTGCACCCCCAGCCACAATCGCACCCCAGGGGTCCTGCAGGGTCAGCCCCACCAGCCACCCGCTTGTCCCTCCCAGATCTGGGGAGACCCCCACCTGCCTCAGCCACCGGACGGCTCTCAGATCACCCCATCACCCCAGAGTCTGCCTCGGCCCAGCTGCCGCACCCAGCCCTCTGCCAGGCCCCTCCCAGAGGTGACTTCTGAGCTCCCACGTCCAGACACCCACCTCCTCCTGCTCTCTGGAGGCCTCAGGAGACCTGGGGAGCTGGAGGGCCCAGGGCTCACCTCCCACCTCCTCCTCCCACGCGCTTCCTCCTCTCCCCTGGGGCAGCAGGCCCATTACCCAGCCTGGGCTCTGAGCCCTCCGGGCCCCTGTACATCCCAGCCGCTCAGGTCTCCCCACCGGGCCCATCTCCAGGTCCCTCACGGCCTTGTGCTTCCTGCTGCCACTCCCTGGACCCCTCACACCCAGGGCTCTCCTTCCTCCCTCCTGCCTCTCTCTGGTATTGAAGGTCAAACCCAAGGCCACACACACCTAGGCAAGGGCCCTATATCCTGAGCCCTTCTGATTTTGTGCTATGAGACACGGTCTTGCTAAGTTGCCCAGGCTGGCCTTGAACTCTCATCGTCCTGCCTCGGCCTCCTGAGCAGCTGAGATTACAGGTGTGTGCCCCGACGGCTGCCTCAGTATCTGTCTCTAACACCGATGATGCAGGAAGCCCATAGGTGGTGCTTACGCCAGACGCCATCTGGATGGGGGTGCGAGTGTGGGTGTGTGCGCGTGTCTGGCACGTCTTACAGGCCAGGACTGTGCCCAATGATGTGACAGCAAAACAACAGCCAATGCTGACCAAGAACGCACTCCCGGCCAGGACCTGCGCTAATAATGATACCACAGTGGAGGTCAGCAATTATAACTCTCACCAGATGCTCTGGGCTGTCGTTTATGCTACGCTGCACTGGTCAGAACCCTCCCGCTTCCCCTAGGAGCCAGGTCCTATTACTCTAGCACCAAACTGGAAAGCGCTGAAGCTCAGAGATGTTAAATCAGTTGCCCAAGGTCACAAAGCCAGGACCTGCCAGAGCGAGGTGGGCTCTCAGGCTGTTTGGGCACTGGCTGTGCAGGGTAGAAGGAAAACACACGAGACAGAGTAGCGCTGTCTGACAAGATGTCCTGAAAGAATGGAAACATTTCCTACGCCTGCTGTTCAAGACGGTAGCTGACGCTGGGCGTGGTAGTGCATGCCTGTAATCCCAGCACTAGGGAGGCTGAGGCAAGAGGATCTCTGTGAGTTCGAGGCCAGCCGGGGCTACACAGTGAGTTCCAGGTCAGTCTCAACTACATAGTGAGGCCCTGTCTTAAAAAACAAAAACAAAATGAAACGAAAAAGATGGTAGCTGTCACCAGATGTGACTTCTAAATACCTAAGGAACCACCAGTCAGACTCGAGGACCACTTCTTAATTTCCTCTTATTTTAATTAGTTTAAATGGAGGTAGCTGGGCGTGGTGGTGCACGCCTGTCATCCCAACACTCGGGAGGCTGAGGCAGGACAACTGCTGTGAGTTTGAGGCCAGCCTGAACTACACAGTGAGACCCTGTCTCAAAAAAACCAAGGAAAAGCAAAACAAGACAATCAATCAATTAATATAGAAATGGAAGTAAACGCATGTAGGTAGCAGCGGTCACGTAGACGGCTCTGGACCAGAGTTCTACCAACTACTACCTGAAGGCCAAATCCTGCTTAGCTGTCTTTGTTCTGCAGTTCTAAGAGAACTGAGCCCAGGGTTGCTTTACCTCCAAGCTACATGCTCAGACCTTTGTTTTATCTACTTAGAGACAGGTCTTGATACATTTCCCAGGCTAGGCTCAAACTAATGATCCTCCTGCCTCAGCCTCCGGAGTGGCCCGAATAACAGTGCACCATGGCACGCAGCCCTGCCTCATTTTATAAAGTTCCGCTGGTGCCCAGTGGTGATGACCTGAGTGTTCACGTCTCGCCTGCTGTGCAGTTCCAGGGCAGAGATGACGGAGGCTGTGTTGCCCACCAGACCTAAAACAGATGTCATATGGCCTAAAAGAGAAAGGTGGCCGCCCCTGCTCTAGATCCTAGGCCAGCGCAGGCGAACCTTTTAGAGACCAGTGCCAAAGTGCAACCCATGACACGCTCATTTATCCCCAAGTACCAAGCCCGGAATTAAACCTCAATACTGTGGTTTGGGTTTAGAAACAAACAAGATGCACTAACTTCTTCTGTCTTAAAAGAAACACAAATGACACATGGGCGCAGGCCCCTCCCTGGGGCACGGCTGGGGCACGGCTGAGTCCATCTTTGTCCTTCTCTGTGCTCCTCTCGGTGACAGCACCACTGAGAACAGCCTGGCTGCCTGCGAACCACGCACTGCGTCACCCCCCCCCCCACTGTCACAGCAGCCCTCGGAGGCAGGGGACTGTGACGCCCACTTTCTTTGCTCTTCTTGGTACCGGGATCGAACTCGGGTCCTTGAGCTTGCGAGGCAGGCAATGGCACCACTGAGCTAAATCCCCGGCCCATGACGCCCACTTTCTAGAGGAGAAAACTGAGGCTCGGGGAGGTGACACGGGTCCCTGAGGTCCCAGAGCTCACAGGCGCTGCCGCTGTGCAAACCCAGGTGCGTCAGCGTCCTCTGCACAGCCCCCAGCCCCGTGCCTGGCTCACTTTGAAATGCTACGCGGGCAGGACAGCGAGGCTGCTTTGGGGCCG